GTAGCCTAGGTGTATCACGTCCACTGCTTCTCCCTTATCCACAAGATTCGTTATCCTATCAAAGAAAGCTATCTCAGATTGGTTTGGACATGATTTGTTCTTTACAAATCCATGCTGGCTGTTACCTGTTACCTTATTATCTTCCAGGTGTTTGCAGATGAGTTCCTTATTTACTTGCTCCATTATCTTTCCTGGCACAGAAGTTAAACTGACTGGTCTGTAGTTTCCTAGATTGTTTTAAATTCCCTTTTTATAGATAGGCACTATATTTTCCCTTTTCTAGTCTTTTGGAATCTCTCCTGCCTTTCATGAATAAAGAAAACATGGGAACTTTGTGTTGGACATAAATTAATATTTTGCTTTATTTAAAATTAAGTTTGATAAACTAATATGAGATGATTAAAGCACTTAATTTGTTTAATAATTTAAATTAATATGTCCTTTCTTACTGGTTAAATTAAACTGCTCTCCCTACCTGCAGCACTAACAAAATGGCTTGGATGTAATTATGTAATTAAGGCAAGTTTCCATTAGCAACTGGTGGTCCACAGAAAGGTTTGCATTGAGCCAGGTGGCTCAAAAAGGTTGAGAAGCACTCGTCTATGAGTATCTACAACTATTGAATAATAGGCTGTTCAGTCTAGCTGAAAATATAACATCACTGAAGAGCAGGAAGTTGAAACAAAATTCAGACTAGAAATAATGTGTAATTTTTTAAGTGAGCATGACTATCCATTGCACCGGTTTATTATGCATCATAGTGAATTTTCCATCATTGACAATTTTTAAATCAAGACTGTATATTTATATAAAAGATATGTTGTAGAAATTATTTAGGGTAAGTTCTATGATCTGTGTTACTAGAAATCAGATTAGAACAGTGGTTCTCAAACTTTTCGGCTTGCAACCTATCCCACTCAACACAAACCTTTCGATGGACCACCAGCTAACCATCCATGATGACAAAATGCACACAGGAAGGGGTAGAAGTCCGAAGGGTGCAGGAGTGGGCTAGGAGTGGGGGGGGGAGGGTCTGAGAGGGAAGGTGTAAGAGCAGGGTGGAGGTCAGTTGTAGGAGGGGCATGTGTGAATGGGGTGGAGGTAGGGTCTGGGCATGAAGGAGATGGGGGGCATTTACCTGCCTCTGCACCCCCTGCCGCTTCCAGGCACCACCCCCACCGCTCCCATTGGCCAGGATTCCAGCCAATGGGAGCAGCAAGGAAAGCCTCCAGGTGAGAGGTTTCCTGTGCTGTGGTTCCCCCCAGCTGGAGGGGGGGGGGGGGGAAACACCCGTTTTAACATCCCTGATCTAGAATAGATGGTAGATCCTTGATGATTTATAGGACAGGTTTTACCTGGGGGCTTTAAGTAATGGCTTGTGGCATTCTGTTGCTTTCTTTGTAGGGTCTGTCGTGTATTAGGTGACTTCTGAGTATTTGCCTGACTTTATCAATCTGTTTCTTCACTTCGCTAGGTGGGCATTATAGTTTTAAGAATGCTTGATAGACAAATACCTACAGGATCTCTTGAGGGATTGGAGCAAAAGTGATTGTATCTGAGGTCTTGGCTTGAATTATGTGAGTAGGAAAGTATTGGAATATGTTACCAAGGTAGGATGTAAAATTCTTTTCAATGGAGTCTTAGAAGAGCAGGTTTGAGGAACTGTCACTGTGGGTGCTGTAACACCCAGGAGATGAGGGTAGAGTGAGGGTTCAGCACCTATTAACAACCACATGCGTTAGCGCCTACCTCTTCCCAGCAGTGCCAGCTGGGCAGTCCATCGATCAGCACTTCCCCCTTTTTTTCAGTTCCTCTTGCCAGCTGTGAATCATCTGTTTCTCACAGTGCAGGAGGTGCTGTAAGTGGGCAGAAAGAGGTGGGGGAGGCATTAGTGTCCAACCAGGCTCACTCAACTCGGGATGGGAGAAAGCGTGGAGGTGGAAGAAGCAGGTAAAGGGGCTTGGAGGAAGAGATGGTATGGGACCTGAGGAGGAGTGGGGAATCAAGATATCCCTCGCAACTCATTAAGTTGGCACCTATGTTTGTTGCGACTGGTCTAGATATAGTTGGCCCTGTCTCAGCACAGTGAGATGAACTCTTCTAGATAATGTCTTCATCTCCCTTCCAGCCCTTTGTGTTTGTGATTGCTTTCTGCTGTTAATGCAACACAGTAGATTGAGAATTTGGGAAGATAAGAATTAAGTCATTGTAGCTTTTGTATTATAGAATAAATGCTATTGAATTATACCTCTTTAAAGGATCATGAGTTGGCCTTTTTAAACTTACAGTAAATGAAGTTGTTTGAACTGAAATAATAGGAAATAGCATCTGGGAGGTAGATTTTTTTTTTCATCCTTTATTTTATTTGCCAAACGATGTGGTTTGTCATGTCTGAAACAGCCTTTCTAATCTTTCTTCTGCTCTGCATTTCTTTAAAAAAGAATCTAGCCTTGGCTGATTCAGCAACATTTTCTCTGCTGTTGTCTGAATCCAAAAAGCTTTGTTGTTATAAATTGAACTAAATAGTAAGATAGAATAAAAATACTAAGATCAGCACAATAGGATATGCCAATGTTTGACCCAGGAGAGCTGATTCACTAAAAGAAAGTGTTTGTGGGTCAGCTGATTTCTGTTCCATTATAGCTTTATACATCTCTGACAATATATTGTTTCTTGGTGTCTAAGAGAATACTTTAGATGTAGTTACATTTAAAGTCTATGTTTTACAAATTCCTTAACTGTACAGTTTTCAAAATGTAAACCTTAAGTAAGCATACTGTTGACCCTTTATTCATACAGTCACTACTATGCTGCATGTAAAACTTGTTTGCAAGCATTGAAAGGAAAAAATAGTTTGGTACTATTCTCATTCAGTCCATCTTTGGGCATTTGAGAGTGCTAGTAAATTTCCTTTTAACATTAACAAGAAATCTGTGAGCTTAATTCAAGACTTGTGCTTTTTTAAATTAGGGATGTTTAATTCCGTGTAATTGACTAATAGAATAGTTGATACATTTTGCATCGACTATTCAACTAGTCGATAGGGCATCTCCACCTTTGAAGTGTAGAAACAACCCTAGGCTGTTGCTACATTTTAAAGATGAAAGTGCCAGGTGGAGCCTGGGATCAGCTGGGGACTCCCCAGCTGATCCTGAGCTCCCTGCAGCACTGCCACTTTGAAACACCACCGCGGGAGCCTGATGCTGGGCTCCAATGGCAAAATTTCAAAGCGGCAGTGCCATGTGAAGCCCGGGGTCTGGCCCCAGGCTCCACACAGTGCTGCTGCTTTCAAGTTACCCCTTCCCCCCCTTGCTGATAGGGGGGGCAACTAGTCAACAAGCTTGTCGATTATCCGATAAGCATTTGCTTATTAGATAGTCTACTAGTCCTTCACATCCCTGTTTTAAATCAGTAATACTTAATACATTACAGGTTGAAAGCAGTGTACAAACTGATTATTCTTTAAAATATCCAGCTGAGGTAAATGGGTACAGATGGGGACACAAAGGGAGGGCTAAACGATTTACCCAAGGCTACTCATTGAGTCATTAGTGGTACTTGGAGTTTCTGTTTATTAGGCCTTATGATCTGTCACTTAATGACACACACTAATCTTTCATTTTAGATTAATCTTGGGTCATGTGGAAGAATATAGGATTATCAATTTAGATTTGTAGTGGATTTCTGAATAAAATAAATTTCAGTTTAATGTTAAAAATACTGTCATAACACATGAGTCCTGAATTAGGGTATGGAAAGTTTCAGTAATATACTTCCTTAGCTTACTTTAACTAGTTCAACTGAATGGCTCTTAAATAATTTAGCAAATAAAAGTTAGAGATCAGTATCCATTTTTATCTAGCAAACTCAAATTACACCATGAGCTGTTTTTCAGATTTTTTTAACATGGATATTTCCGATCTCCATAAATATGTTTCTGAACTTGCATCATTTGTAACATTTCACATTAGGAGTGGCAGTAGTTACCGTTCACTTATTCGGAAAACTGATAGTGGCAATTTTACAGCTGAAAAAAACTTGCATATTCCAGAATAAATAAAATTGAGGAATTTCAGAGAGACCTAACACAGGCCAGTGTCCATCACAATAGTAGGTGAAATTTAATAAACAGGATTATTTCATCCACTGTTTAAGAGAACTACCTTTGGCATTGCTGAGCTCTTACTTTTAAAAAAAAAAAAAAAAAAAGCGGTAGCAGTTACTTTGGACAATTCACTGAAAGCCTTTACTCAGCATACAGCAAAAGAAATTAAGAAACAAAAAAAATCAAAACAAACAATAGTATATTAAAAATAGAAAAATGCAATTATACATCAGCATGATGTCTTCCTTTGAAATACTGTGTCAAGTTCTGGTCACCACCTCAAAAGAGAACAAAAATAGAAAAGGTTCAAAAACAGGTTTCAGGTAATTAAATGCTTGACAAGACTTCCACATGATGAAAGGTTGAAATGATTAGATCTATTACATTTAGAGAGGAAATAAATAAGAGGCAATATAAAAATAATAAATGATATGAAGGTAAACTGGGTGTTCCTGTTTCTCCTTCTCCATAGTACAGGAACAAGGGGAAATTTCATGACACTAAATGGGAACAACTGGTAAACTGATTATAAACTTTGTTACACAATTAACCTGCAAAACTTTCTACTTAGATTGAGACCAAAGACTAGTTACATTCAAAGTAAGATTAGATATGTATATTGATAATGAGAATGTTGATAGTTACAGAAAAACTAAATATAACATAGCAGGGAAAACCTCTTTTACAATCAATATAAACCCTATGCTTCAATCAGAATGCAATTGATGGAGGTTTGGAGGAAGTTTCCCTTAGAGGTGTTTGTTGAATAGTTAACACATTCCATGGTGTGTTCCTAAGTAGTGAATGCAAATTGAGGCACCTATCTGCTGTATACACCTCAGCATACTGAAGGAATATGGAGACCTGATCAACAGTGCACACCCTGATGTGTGGTGTTTCGTTCACAGCCTCCAGTTGCATTATCAATCAAAAGGAAACACCGCAGCTAAAAACTAATAGCTTTTCCAGCATGCCTTGGAGAGTAGGGACCAATTATTATCATTACTTTCCAAGAACAGGATATATAGGTAAGTCTTCTCGCCTTTATAAACATCAAGGCTACGTCTACATTGCTCTCTCTTGCACAGGAACATATGCAAATGATCTGTGGCGATGAATATCGCCGTGCCTCATTTGCATATTTAATGAGCTGCCATTTTTGTGCAAAACACCCCTCTTGCGCAAGAGCCGTTTGCCAGGGGGTTTTGCGCAAGAAGGAGCAGTCTACACTGCTCCTTCTTGAGCAAAATCCCCTTGCGCAAAATGATGGCTCATTGAGTATGCACATGAGGTGCGACGATATTCATCATCATGCCTCATTTGCATATGTTCTTTCGCAAGAGAGTGCAATGTAGACGTAGCCCAATTCTACAACTCTAAGCGTATAAAAACACATCTGTAAAGTTCCTAAAGATACCTTGCCTTACTGGGGATTACTGAATAGTTGTTCACTATGAAGTTAAATATACCTTTTGAAGCATCCCCATTGTCAAAGACAGGATATCATAATAGATGGACCATTGAATTGGTATAGTAGTTTCTGTGATTTTCCTTTTACCCCCATCCCACCAATTCTGACTTTTCCGGGCAGGGGTGAGAGGGCAGGGAGGTTGAAATCCCATCAGGCTCAAAAAATTTCAGATCTTTAATGATTTGCCTGGGGAGTCGGAAGCAATTGGGTCTCAAAGTGTGAAACAAAACAAATACTGCAGGCTGATGTTTGCCTGGAGGAATTAAGAGCTAGGTGGACAAGTCAAGGGCTCCCTTTGAAGCAGGAAGACAAGGGTGGCTGCTGTGGGAAAGCACATCAGATTTTTTTTTTTTTTTTTGCCTGCGAGACAGAGGATCTAAAGGCCCTAAGGCAGTATTATACTCCCAGCTACATTGTAACTCTCCCAGAGTGAATAGATTAACATACACTAGCTCTGTTCAAGCTAGTGTGGTAAAAAGATCTGTGTGGATGTTGAAGCATGGGCAAGCTATCAAAATACAGACTAGGGATGTAAATGGCAATTGATCATTGGTAAGCATTACCCTTAATGGACTGGATGCTCTCCTCCACTCCCCCATTTAATCAGTAAAACTTAATGTTTCATGGTTTAACTAACTAAAAGGGATTTTACAAGCCTTGCACAGACAAGGGTGGTTGGACCAGGCTTGAATTCGAGAAACTAAGTCACGCCACTGCTCATGGTACAACATTCATGTTGCCATTTTTAATCTGCTAGCTCAAGCACACGTAGTGTTTGTTCAGACTGGAAGGCTCCCAACTGTAATGTAAAGATATCCCTATTGGTGTTCCCTGTGAGATTATGTGGATTTTAATGCTACTCAGCTGATGAGAAGAGTGCCCACAGTTAGGTATTGGTAGTGCACATTTGCATATGCCTCAGTGCACTTAAAATTTATTCCACACATGGGTGGAAAAATCCATATCTGAACAGAGACGGTTAGAGGGAATATTGATCCCAGTAGACTCTATTTTACTCGTGTGACCTTAGGTGTAGCTGATGCTGATTGTGTTGGGGAAGCAGTACCAAAGGTTGGGCTTTCTAAGAGTTATTATTCTGTAAGCCTAGGGACTTTTTGAGTTAATACTCTCATTCCAAATCCAGGAAATTGTCGTGATGCAATCCCTGAACAAAACCCTAATGCAAATTTTATTCTATCCATAATTCCAATTCAACCACAGAGGTTTTCTAGTTAATATTATGGAGATTTTTGTAACCTGTGTCCTTTTAAACTAAATTGTAGTTTTATTGTGTGAATTATTTCATGTAATCCCAACAGAATGGTTTTGTATCAGTTTATATCATTTCCTATGAAAATGTTTTAGCTAATTGCATAATTGTGACAAACTAATAAAATGCGCAGTTTCAAGCTAAACATGAAGTTTTGTCAGAGGTAAAACAATTCCACAGAACAATGAAAGCTGTTTAATTTTCCAATGCTTTCTAATTTCCTAGTTTCATTAATTGAAACGTATCCAAGATTTTATTACATGGGAGAAAAGGTTGTAATTTCATTTATAAGAAAATAATAAAATATTAAATCTTACTAGAAGATTCACTAAAGGTTTTATAGAAGTAGTCCATATAGTATGCACATTCAGACTTTAGAAATGCTTGCTGTTGCAATAGATTGTCAGTTTATTTAAAATCAGAACTTAAATTTTATATTGTCTCAATTTTTGTATTACAGGCCAGAACTGTGATGGTAGTTGGTCTGGGTGTAGCAGCTCTTGCATTTGCAGGTAATTGAACAGACATCTGAACATGCTGTCCTAGGGTGATGCTGTTCCTTAAAGGGCTAATGCAATCCTTAGATATATAGGCAGGAGCATAAGAAGTTGAAATAGGGAGGTGGCATATTCCACTAGTGAGAACTTTATTGTTTCCGGTCTTAGTGTCCACCCTTGAAAAGAGATGTAGAAGACTTGGAAAGGTTCCAAAAGAGCTACAAGAATGGTTTGGAAAATCTGAGCTAATGAGGTTACATCTCTCACAGGGATAGCCATGTTAGTCTGTTGTTGTTGTTTGTTCTTTTAAAAAAAACAAAACAAAACAAAAAAAAGTTCTGCAGCAGCTTGGAGACTAACAAAAAATATATACAAAAGCTTCAGAAGGGTAGACGAGTTAGTCTGTAACTGAAAAAACTTGAAATACAAAGAATAGTCCCACAGGGTACCCATGAAAACTCATAATATCATCTACATGTTTTGTTAGTCTTTAAGGTGCTGCTACACTATTCATTGTTGTTTTTTTTTAAATGTAAATGGTGTCATGAGCTTTCATGGTCACAACCTATTTCTTCAGACTTCATTCAGCTAATGAAGTGGTTGTGCCCACGAAAGCTCATAATACCATCTATATTTTTGTTAGTCTCCAAGGGGCTGCAGAAGTCTTTGAATCTGTATAGCCATCAAAGATTATAGTAAGAAATGACTTCATCACAGTCTATGAATACCTACACAGAGGGGGATAAGGGATAATAGAGTACTCTTTTAAAATCTGCGTTACAAAACATAACAAGATACAGTGGCAGAAATGTAATGCACCTTTTTCCCAGTTTTAATTTGTCTAGCAAATTTTAGCAGTGAAGATAATTTGCCATAGGCACAATTTACTACGGGGGTAGGGATAGATTCTCAATTACTTGAAATCAAGATGAGACGATAATCTGAAAGATAACTCATGATTGAACTAGAATCTGTTGGACTAAATTCAGGAATTAGTTTGAAATTCTATGGCCTCAGTTATGTGGGAGGATTAGTGTTTCTTCTGTCCTTGAAATCTACAAACCAATTTCTGTTCACTTCAGGTAATCGAATTACATCATTCATTTGATTTCTTTGTAAATGTAAGCATATGCTTGATGCTTGAAATGACCTATTTGCACATCTTGATCTTTAAGAATGAAAGCAAATGTTTTCTGGCTAAAACATTATCTTATATTAAATATTTAATTGCAAAAAGTGACTAAATTTTCTAGTGTATTGTAAGCAAAAAAAATGTCCAAACCAAAACTGATCATTCCTACCATGGCTTTGATGCAAATTCTGATACTGAGCTTGGTAGACTTGCCTTCATCCAGTCTCAAAATAGAATATGATTTACAGCCTGTCTCCGACTTACGAACTGGTTACGGACCAAGCAATTGGTCATAACTCAGTTTGTTCGCAAGTCGGACCCCATTGAGTTACATGTGACCGCGCTGTTCATAATCGCGGATCGCATTCGTAACTCGGGGCCCGCCATTTACGACATTTTTGGTCGACAGTTCGCAACTTGGGGACTGGCTGTACTGACTTCTGAATAGAACTCCATCTAGTCTGTTTTTTATTTAGAGTGGGGCATGGCTCTGTTTGGTCTTTAATGGTGCTGAATCTCAAAAGACTCCATTTTTCATTTAAAAAAAATAAGAATGTAAAGTGTGATATTGGTGCAGAGTTGTGTGAAGATAGTAAGGAACAGATTTGGAATCAATTTTGAGCTGTACTTATTTTGGGGATTTAAATATTTAAATATACAAATATAAGTTGTAATTGCTAATTTCAATATTTCCTACAATTTACAACGCAGATATCTTGGTTTTTATTCTAACTAAACATATCTGAATGTATTGGCATTGGGAACAAACATTGTGAATCTTGGAATATATTGCTTTATTTTTAGATTTTAAAAAACACTTTTTCTCCTCTTAATATAAATATTGAAGAATGCAAACTATTGCATACTCATCAGAGAACTATGCTGGGCCTCTCCACAAAACTGACTTCTCAGGGAACATCTTGAAAAGCAGTAAAGTGAGAGAGCTTTGAATTTTTTTTTTAAGACCAAAATTCCTATACTGGTATTTGCAAAATATTTGCACAGGTAAAAATATGTAAAGATTTCCTTTGTAAGTGAAGTTTTTTTTTTTTAATTTCTTTTTAAGGTCGCTATGCTTTTCAGTTCTGGAAACCACTTGAACAAGTATTCACAGAAACAGCAAAGAAGATTTCAACCTCTGTAAGTTTCCAGGTTATTTTTATCAAACAATTTAAAATCACAAACGCTATTTAACATTCAAGAGAAACATTTTAGGCTATCTTGTTAGGCTTTCCAGTGAAAGATTATTCTCAGCACTACATGCTTCAGTGCTTTAGTTGAGTGTAGTTAAATGCTTCCAGATGAATTTTTTTTTCTTAAGATGTTGGTGAGATCAGTGAATGTGTCTAGTTTCCCTACTCAAAAATTGTTTGTCAGAGAGTTTATAAGGAATGTCATTGCGACCCATTTAGCTATGGCAAAAGTTCCAAATGACGAACAGTTATCTACGATATCACTTTAAATGATGAAAAATAAAAATCTCTAGTTTTCTTTCAGAGATGGCTTTTTAAAAATATAAACAAATTGCTGAAAAAAGAAGACTGTTCTATCTTACACATCAGTTGTGCTTTTATTTAGTGTGCTCCAGCTAACTGCTATATGAATTTTTGACCAGATTGCCTGCTTGTGGTATTTTCTCCTTCATTCTGTGTTCATAAAATGGTATATATGTCAGTGGACTCTTTGCTGTGTAGTCTCCTTAGTATCTACTCTTGGCGTGAGTGACTATGTCCTTCCCTGCAATCCAGGCTAAAAAAGCTTTAATTAAAGTTAATAAATAAATAAAGTTCCATAAAAAGAGAGATCTGGTTGTTTCAGTAGATCTCTTTGGAGGCCTCAAGATAAGGACACTTCTGTATTCCTTCCAGTGTGGAATGCTATCTCTGCAGGGGACATGTTTAGGTTCAGTATTCAGAGCAAAGCAATTTAAGGAAGTCTTGGTCAGCATCACATGCCCTATGTTGTGAGTTCAAAAGCAACACAGTCTTTTCACCCTTTTAAGCAGAGCACTAGGCTTTAAATGAACATAAAATAAATAGCAGGTGACGAATTCTTCAAAAGAAGTGCCATGATAATGCCATTTTTATACCAAAGTAAATGGGGAGCAAAAGTGGGTGAATCATGGAGCTTAATGGGGGGAAAAAACAAAATTGTGGAATCAAACTTTTGTGGGTGTCATGATAAAATAAAATAGTACTGTTGAAGTACATTGGAATTTAGGATGTGCTGCCATGTGTGTAAATGAATGTACCAACAATAGGAACTGCCTTCAAAGTCCAGACCCAGACTGAGTCCAGCTGATGGGTGGACTCCTCGTTGCTTTGTAAAAGATGCACTCAAGTCAGAGTCTCCTTCCCCCTCTCCCAAGCTTTGAGTACTCTTCTGCCTAGAATAATGTTCTCTGTCTTCCTTCAAATTCCTTCTTTAAATCTTTCTTTTGGCTAGCTTTGTAAAGATGATCTGCAGTCAGTGAAGTCTTTCTTCTGACTTGTCCTACTCTATTTGAAAACTTAAAACAATTTTTTTCAAGCATACTCAGCATCTTTCACATGTTCTGTTTTTATTGGTCATAACCTTCGACTCTGTTTTTTTTCCCTGTTGGCCATTACTTCCTGTATGCATGTTTAAATTAAGCTTGCCAGGGAAGGACAATCTTCATTTTTCTTTAAAGCACATTGTAAATTTATGGTCCAATATATGTATTAAAAATGTCTAATAGTCAACCAACTTTCTTTTGGAATTTCTGTTGTACAAGTATAATCTTCCTCTTCAGTATCTGTGTTGAGAGATACATTCTGGGAAGACAATTTAATTAAATTTTTCCTTTGACTCAGGAGATGTGGGCAGGAGCAAAGCAGAACAAAATTGATATTTCCATCTTCAGTCTATAGAAGGGCACTCACTATTATACAGAAATGAACCCAGAAGAGGACCATGGAAGGCACTACAGGTTGGACCTCCTTGGTCCGGCACTCTGGGGACCTGACCAGACCCGGATGAAGGATTTTGCCGGTCCACGGGATGTCATAGCTGCCCCCATGCTGCTGGGCCCCCCAGCCCTGGATTGGCTGCTGGTCTCTTGGCTGCCCCGTACCCCACCAGCTCCACTGCCCTGCCAGTCCTGCCCTGCTAAGCCAGGCAGCCCCACTGCAGGCATGCCAGGCTCCTGGTTCTGCCGGGCAGCCTTCCATCAGGACTCTCTGGTCCTTGAACATCCGTGGTACTGCTGGACCTCGGATGTTGTCAGACCAGGGAGTTTCAATTTCACAGAAGTTCAATCTATAGGATCCAGGAGGCAGCGTCAGAGCTGCCAGCCTCAGCTGTGGAGAGACACTGAGTGAACTGTCACACTATGGGAAGGAAAAATCTGCATGTTCACCCTATATTCCCCGCAATAGGTTGAGTAAAGCAAGCACATCTCCGTAGCACATATTTTTGCAAGAGGTGGGAGCGCAGTTCCCCACAAAATACACCCATAGCTGGCATGGGTTGATGACCCAGCACCTCCTCACCAGCCATGGTATACAGACCCCTTTCAGCACAGAAAAGGAAGAAGCATCAGGCTGCTGACTGAGCTCCTCCCCTACCAGGGGTCCTTCCCTGCTGACAGAAGCTATTCCAGCAGGGTTCCATGGTGCCATCTCCCTCTCAGCCGGCCCTGCTCTCTGCAGGGACCTAGGAACAGTAAACTTTTTGAAATGTTTGTAAGTACACATCTGGAACTGGGCTGCAAGTGACCTGCAGGTTGAGAACTGCTGGTCTGATCCAGTGGCCACTTAGGTGATTGGGAGGATTATCGTTGACTTCAGGAGGCACTAAGATGGCGCTGTGTGCTCTCAAACTTTATTGGATACCAAATTCTCTGCTGTTCAAAGCTGTAATGTTGTGATATATTATATTGGAGGTGGCTGCTTTTTGTTAGCAGGTCAAGTGTCCCTTTGGTAGAAGCAGTATGCAGAGACTGGCATAGATACTAAATTTGTATCCACATCTGAACCAGCAAAAAGGAGCTGTGGATATCTGCTTCCACATCCAAGGATACCTATGGATATAAAGCGGATATCTGCAGATTTGAAGGGCACTATCTGCTCCAAATCTTAACTATGAAGTTTGCTTAGATACCGTAATAGGTGCCTTATAAGTGCATGTAATTTAAATGAGCATTTGTGAATTCATGTGGGATGAGGTGCTGCATAAATGTAAGACTAATTTTAATATTGATAATTACTGGGTATATCTAGTAAGTAACTGAAAACATGTTTCATTAAGGGTTTGGCATATTTTAATTATGAGTAAAAAGCACAGTTCTGAAGCCAGACTTCACTTCGATGATAAAAGTATGAAGTTTAAATACATTTTGCAGTTAACAAAACTTCATTCTTGTTAATGGACTTCTGGGCAACAGCTCTCAGTAGTCAAACTGTCTTGGAACTACATCTCTTGTCTCTGGGGCTCGTTTGACTTTGAGGGCTACAGTTGTGCAATATTGGACTAATCCCAAATAGGGATGTGAAGAGTTAACCGGTAAGCCTTACCTTTAATGGGAGAGGCTTACCTGTTAAGGTCTCTGATTCTTAGTCCTGAATTTTTTTTAAACGCTTCAATGCTGATATCTAGTTTTATTGGCAGTGGTATTTCAGTAATTTATTTTAACACTCTTAAGGTTGACAAGTATCAATTTGATCTTTGCTTCCTTCCCTGGACAATAATTTTTGCTTTGGAAAAAAACCCAACAAACAAACAAAATCCTCAAACCCTCACCACCTTACTCTCTGTTTTCTCTTTCAGTTGTTTTAAACAGTGATTAAAATCTCAGTTTCTGAGGTTTGGGGGAGAGGAGAAACCACAAATAATCCTAAATGGCAAGAGAACTTAAATCAGCATGAACTTAGGTGCACACAAAGTCCAGGGCAGTGCATACATTCAATTTCATTCTACCCAGCATTTAGACAGGGTTTTTCTGCCATAGGGGCAGAGAGATTCTCAACCCTACAAATCAATGGCTGCAACAATTAATGTCTGTCTTTATCAGCAAAACACTGTACAAACACAATTTGTAACTTTTAAGAGGTCAGATTTTCAGTGTTTGACAGAGTTCCTTTTAAACCTTACTTGTTCTGCTGTAGTTTCATCACTTGAAATGAATTCTAATGAAATGTTAATCAACCTTACTAAGGTCATAAAATGGCATTGAGATCGTGACACCTAAGTGGAACTAATTATTTTCCTCTCTCTCTTCCCTGCCCCTTTCTCTCCCTTCCCAGAGTCTTTCATCCTACTATAAAGGAGGGTTTGAACAGAAAATGAGTAGACGAGAAGCAAGTCTTATTTTAGGCATAAGGTAGGTGTGCTGCATTAGTAATATTTGTGTTCTGTCACAAGGATGAATGAAAGAAATGTAAGGTGAAAGAATGGGGCTATATGGTACTTACAGTAGTAACTTGTTAAAATTATGTTGCATATTCCGGTCTAAGATTGTATTTTAAGTTTAAAAAAACCCACAATAATATGAGCAACTATATGAATTGCAGCAGTAAAGGGTAAATACTCTAAATATAATTTGGAACAGTACGTGCTATACTAATCAACATGAGTTACTCTGATATCACTACAAAATCAAGTATCAGAGGGGTAGCCGTGTTAGTCTGGATCTGCAAAAGCGACAAGGAATCCTGTAGCACCTTATAAACTAACAGATGTATTGGAGCATGAGCTTTCGCGGGCAAAGACCCACTTCGTCAGATGCATGTCATGCACACAAGCTCATGCTCCAATACATCTGTTAGTCTATAAGGTGCTACAGGACTCCCTGTCGCTTTTACAAAATCAAGATTTACATTTTTAATTGTATTAATGCAGAAAGCAATTCTATTCCATCTGTTGTTTCAAATGTATGTAGAAACTCTTTATATCTTTCAATTTTACATTAAATTAATTGAAGATGCAATGAAGTGTATTAGGATGAACATAGGCACATGTTAACTTGAGAGTTAAAAGCATTATAGGGATATTGTGATTGTTCTCAATAGCAAGCATTACAAATCCAGGCAATTCAGATTTAAAGTGACATTTAAACATGTTTGGATTTCTTTTAACATATGGAAATGCACCCAAATCACCTTTATTCTTTCCTAGAACAACTCTAGGAAGGGGTGAAAAAGAGTAGGGGAAGCTCTGCCTGTCTTAAAAAGAGTGGCCCTGTGGCATCTTAGCTCCGGTCTAGACTAAGGAGTTATTTTGAAATAACCAGTGGAGCGTCCACACTACCAAGCCCATTATTTCAAAATAAGGGGCTGGTTATTTTGAAATAACGTCTGCTTTCCATGAGGAATAACACTTATATAATAGTTATTTTGAAATAGCGGTAGTGTGGACACTCCAATGCTGCTATTTCAAATCAGGTAGTCTCCAGAGTCACTCAAAATAATTATTCCCCAGTGCTAAGTCAAGGTAGCTTGTCCACATTCAGGGAGCCTACCTCGGGCTAATTTCGAGGCTTCCCTGTTGTGTGGACATACAATTTTGAAATAACTATGTTGGGAGTTATTGTTTCAAAATTTCCTAGTGTAGAAATGCACTTAGAGACTAACCAAAATATATAGAATCACGAGCTTTGGTGAGCAAAACCCACTTCGTCAGATTAATTGGAATGGAAGTAACAGAAACCAAGAGAAAGATAACAGTAGAAGTACTTGTCAATTGTAAGACCTGTGTTAATGAGGCTAATTAAGTGAGCTGGACCTGCCTGGTCACTCAATCATAAATTTAAAAGTGCAGGTTGCACCTCTAAAATCTGGGATTCTCTGGTCAGGCAACATCCATTGTCTGGCATGACCACAGATGTTTGAGGATCAGAGAGTCCTGGTGCACTGCAGAGGGGCGGGAGCCTGGGAGGTAGCACACAGCTCAGTCACCCTGTAAGGGTGGGTGGAGGGCGGGAACCAGCATGTGACACAGTTGGGCTGAGAGGGAGGAGCTGGGAACCAGCACACGGCTCAGCTGGGCTGCGGTAGGTAGGGGCCAGGAACTAGTATGTGGCTCAGCTGGGCTACAGGGGGAGCCAGGAATCCCTGTGGGAAGGGGAGTGGCAGCAGAGGCCTGAAATGACTTCCCCTGATCTGGACAAATTCAGGTCAGGTTCCAGGGGTGTCGGATCAGGGAGGTCCAACCTACGAATACAAGCGACTTCCTAGTCACTTCCCCCTGCCCCTTGCTGCCTCAGCAAGGAGGGGCAGGGAGCAGGAGACAGTGCTGGGGTGAGCTGGCTTAAAAGCCAGTTTCCCCCCAGCACCAGTTCTCTGCAGGGGGCTAGGGGAAGCAGAGACATAGTGGGGGTACCAGGCTTGAGCTGGGAATCAGCTGATTTCCAGATCGCTCACAGTCCCAGATGTTGTACCTCTGCTTTTTAAATGTATTAAGAGCTGACAGGTACTTAATATATTTAAAAGGCTGAACCACAACGGAGTTAGCTCCTGGCTGCTGCGGCTCTGCAGTCCTCTCCCCCCCGTTATTGACTAATCGAATAGTCGATGGAAATTCCATCAACTTCTTGATTAACTGATTAAACGCAATTTAGCATCCCTAGTCCAACCTTGTCCAATTCTTCTACAAAGGAATTTCACTAGTCAATTTCAGAGTGAGTCTGCAGAATTAGAATTTATCTACAGATTTGATATGGTTACCCTGGGCTTGAACAAAGACATTAGCTGGTTGGCCCATAACATAGAGAATTTCTCCTGCCATTAACATCGGCATTTCCACATCAAAAGCTATGTACGGGACACATCCCTCTTAATTAGACTCATTAACACTGGTCTTACAATTGACAGGTACTTTGTCTGCTGTTATATATACCTTTGGTTTCTGTTGTTTCCACTCCAGGTAATCTGATGAAGTGGGGTTTGCCCACAAAAGCTCATGATTCTATGCATTTTTGTTAGTTTCTCAGGTGCCCTAGGACAACTTAATGTTTTTGAAGTTACAGATGAACACGGCTACCCCTCTAAGAGAGGTCTTCAAAATAGTTTAATCCAGGGCTACAAATGCTAAAATGTTTTAATGACAATTTCATGATTATTGCATGAAGTCACTATAAGCCAGATTGTTTAGTTGCTTTAATTCTGCAGTTCCATATGTCAGCATGTTTGGATTTTTGTTTGTGTATCTTTAACATTAAGTAGACTTTAATTACAGAAATGCTGTAATTATGCCATATCTAACCCTTATTATTCCAGTTATTGAAAGTTAAGTTTTCATTTAAAGTTAATTCCAACATCCTATAAGGGTCTTTAACTGATGTATCTGAAAATTATGTGCTTGATATATTTTTTTGTCTTGCAATTTCCTTAGGTTTTGAAAATAAATATTTAATATATGCACACTAAACAAACTTAAAGAGATTGTTACTATGTGATATTTGGATGACTTGTAGCTATGTTAACAATCTCAAATCACTTATTAAAATTAAATTTATGGGCAGATTCACTGATATACCACAATAGTGAATCGCAGTTAGAGCTCACTAGGCCATTAAGATGGCTTTAAAATAGGGATGTCAAGCGATTAAAAAAAAAAATCATTTGATTAATTGAACAGTTAATAGACTACCATTTATTAAAATATTTTGGATATTTTCTATATCTACAAATATATTGATTTCAGTAACAACCCAACGCAGTGTACACTGCCATCTTTATATTTATTATAAGTATTTGCATTATAAAAACAGTATTTTTCAATTAATGTGATATAAATACTGTAATGAAATCTCTTTATCATAAAAGTTGAACATGCATATGTAGAATTATGTACAAAATAACTACATTCGAGAATAAAAACAAGGACGGCCTATGAGCTCTCTCAGTCCTTCTTGTTAGTCAGTTGCTCAGACAAACAAGTTTGTTTAATTTGCAGGAAATAATGCTGCTTGTTTCTTGCTTACAATGTCTTTTGAAAGTGAGACCAAGCATTTGTGTTTCACTGTTGTAGCAGACATCACAAAATATTTGTGCCAGGTGTGATAAAGATTCTTGTGTCTTATCATATTTCAACCACCATTTCAAAGCACCTATGTCCATGCGGATCGTGGGTTTTGCTCAATAACAATCCAAAGTATAGTGGACTGATGCATATTTCTTTTCATCATCAGAGTCAGATGCCATCAGCAGAAGGTTGATATTCTTTGTTGGTAGTTCAAGCTCTGTAGTTTCCACAACAGTGTTGCTCTTTTAAGACTTCTGAAAACATGTGCCAGACCTCTTCCCTCTCAGTTTTTGGAAGGTACTTTGGATTCTTAAACTTGAGTCAAATGCTGTAGCTATCTTCACGCTATGTCTACACTTGCAAATTTTGGTGACAGGCATACGGATCTTGTGCAAAACAGGTTTTTTACACAAAACGGAAGTAGCTACACCGCTGCTTTTTGCGCAAAAAGAAACAGCAGAAAATATGCTAATGATGTCGCTAATGATGTTGAGGCTTATGATAATGAGTCCCTCATTAGTATATTTTCTGCCACAAAAACATTTAGTGTAGACAAAGCCAAAGAGTAGAAGCTCCAGAGCAAATTAACACGTGGCTTCAGTGTTTGTAGGCAGATCCAAGTTTCAGAGAGCTTGCAAATAAGGCTTCATCCTACGAAACAGCTAGCATCATACCTTCTCGCAAATTAAATTAATGCATTATTTAACGAGCCTCATCAGCGTGGAAGCATGTCTGCTGGCATGGTGGCCAAAATGTGAAGGGGCATACAAATGTTTGCCATATGTGGCATGTAAATACTTTTGTATCCAGTATTGCAAAGTATCATAGAATCAAAGGGTTGGAAGAGACCTCAGAAGGTCATCAAGTCCAACCCCCTGCTAAAAGCAGGACGAATTCCAACCATATCATTCCAGGCAGGGCTTTTTCAAGGCAGGACTTCAAAATCCCAGGGGATGGAGATTCCACCACTGGTCTAGCTAACTTCTTCCACTGCTTCACTGCCCTCATAGTTAAATAGTTTTTCCTAATATCTAACCTAAGCCTCTCCCACTGCAATTTGAGACTATTACTCCTCATTTTTCATCTGTCATCTCTGAGAACAGTCTCTGTCCATCCTCCTTGGAACCCCATTTCTGGTAGTTAATCATAGAATTATAGGACTGGAAGGGACCTTGAGAGGTCATCGAGTCCAGCCCCCCACCCTCAAGGCAGGACCAAGCTCCGTCTACACCATCCCTGACAGATGTCTATCTAACCTGTTCTTAAATATCTCCAGAGAGGGAGATTCCACCACCTCCCTTGGCAATTTATTCCAATATTTGACCACCCTGACAGTTAGGAATTTTTTCCTAATGTCCA